GAGAGCGAAGTGATTGTACGAATGAGCGTCGCCTCATGGCGCGTTGCGCTTAAATGTGCATGCGGCGTCTTCAGCGCCGGCAACAGTGTCGATGCGCGTCCCTTCCAGAAATTTTCCTTTGGCGTGAGAAAACGAAGCTTCTAGAAGTTTCGAAGGCGTCCCTTTTTTGTGAGTGCTGGCAGTAAATAATATTTCAAATCGTAAACTTGCTCGGACTTGCCGAGTTTTGTTTGTAAACATTTTTCTCGAGTACCCGCCTCGGTGGCACATGAGGATCAGCCTAGGCGCACGTGGTGGTCAACCTTGCTGCACGCGCGGTCAGTCTAGGCGCACATGCGGTACGCCGGACTGCGTATATGACCTTTCTTTTGTTTGAAATTCATGGACTGCTTCAATCCCGAACACTTCGAGTGTAGAAGGATCCGATATCATGCTTTGTGTAGTCAACTATTTTCTAGAACTGCAGTCAGCCCTTGACTCGTTAAGCGTTGCGCACTGGAGAATTGAACGTGAGTTCCTTGCAATGGCTGCACTGAGAGAGTGTGAAGAATAACTGGCACTGTTTACTGAGTGACTGATGAGTGATAACTACGAGGAGTGTTGATGAGCGCTTCCTTAAATATCAGCGCGGCAGCTAAAACTAGCTGGCAACAAAGCTTATGTGCTGCTATGCGGAGACTAACCGACTTGTAGAACGTTCAAGAATCTAAGTTTTGAGCTAGTCGAGAATTTGGCGAAGGCAAAGTCTTGGAAGATTCGAGAATTCAATCTATATTGCTATGTAAAGGCGAAGCAGCCTTGCCGAACGTTCGAGAACCGAAACTCGAAAAAAATGCTCCAATTACGAATTGTTCAGTATTGAACTACCTAACAAAAAATAATAATTTATCGTTTGTTATAATACGATTCCGATACATTATATTTAAATTAAGGCGTAATATTTGAATTATACGTTACGAAAAATTCACTGGAAATTTAAGCCGCGTACTGTGTCTGCATAGCAACAAAAGAAGCTTCTCGAACGTACTAAAGCTTGTTTTCAAGAATTCACTAGAACCTCCAAGAATTACAACGCTAAATGTACGCAATCATATTTAAGAAGCAACGAACGGAGAAGGAAATCAGTCTTGTTGAATAATTCAAGTGAAATTAATGCCAGTCACACCAGTGAAAAATAAATCTGAGTTCTGATCAAACCACAAAAGAGGGCGTCTATAATCCGTAATAGTCCCCACTACCTTCACAAGCCGAATCACGCTCAGTGAAATCTATCGCCGATTCAAACGCCTAAGCAATCGCGAGCCGGACAACGCTCAGTAAAATTCTAGCGCCGACTCAAATGACTAGGCATTCGTGAGCCGAACAACACGCCGTAAAATTTATTACCGAATTAATCGTTAAGGAAGTCGCAAACCCGACAGGGCTCTCTAGAAAACTAGTGCTGTCTGGGATCTGACTAAAAACCTCCTATAGATGTTGAGTGGAGGTGTTGCTGGCAAGTGGAAGGGACAATGCAATTATTCAAGATTACTTGTAATGTTTATTGTTGTTCCTTTTATTAAATATAATAATATAATAAATAATTAATAATTATGAAGTATATAAATAATGGTATGATAGATTAAATTTTATAAAGTTTCCTTTATATTGTTAGGTGTTGATGAATGTATTTTCATTTTGTTGTATAATGAGTAAGTGCTATCTTAGCATACATTAAATTGTTTATGTTTGTGTTATACTTTGGTGCCGCGCCTATGATACGTCAGTCTTATCTGTGATATGTTTCAATAGTAGTATGCTTGATGCCGTGCCTATGATACGTCGGTCTTATCTGTGGGATGATGTTTCAATATGATTTTTATATTTTCACTGTTGTTTTATCTTAGCACTAATACGTTATTAATTTAATTTTAGTTTAATGAATTTTAGAATATACTGTCACTATTTCTTTCTTAGATTATTACGTATGTATACCGTTAAACTGTGGTCACTGTAAAGAAAGCTTAATGATGTATAGTGCGTTTGTTACAATGATTGTATAATTGTTACTAGACTGAGGCAAACTGAACTGCTGCGCGTGAAGCGCAGTCCTTAAATATTATCGCACTATTCCTTAAACGCCGGTGTTTGTTGCCATGACGATATTGATTGAGACGTCAATAGGGCAAAGCCTGGAACGTTCTTTGCTGGTGTTTTATTTAAATAACTGAACTGCGCATTCATACCTCTCCCACTTTCGACTTTCAACTTTTTAATCCGTAACAATTGCCGAATCAATTGTCTAATGATTCTCGAACCGAAGAGACTCCTTTAAACATAGAGACTAAACCACGTGCCCAGTACTCCCAATTCACCCGTTAGACTTGCACTCCCGGACAACGTTCTAAAGTTCATGGGCAACTGCCTAATCACTACGAACTCAACAATTCTCACTACAATCAGTAACGCCAACACCAACTAATGTGACTATAATATCGTTAATTCTATTTATAACGCGTGTTATGGCTCGAAATCTCTTCTCCCTCCTGCCCCCCCCCCCCCCCCCCCCCCCCCCCCCCCCCCCCCCCCCCATCGCCATTAAACCGGCGGTACGTTCTTATTAACCCACCGTGATCTGCGATTATATCGGTGGCTGTAATTCCAAACACGAACAAAGTATTTAATTTGGTAATACATATGCATGAAAAATAAAAAAGTAATATATAATAAAACTATAGCACTACTTATGCACACGCGAGTACTTACACACATACTTACACTCAGAAAATTAAAATTTAATGATAAGAATAAAAATACGTTCGTTTCAATTTTAATTTATGACATTCATGTAGTTCTCTCATATTCTTTACTTTTAATGTAATTAGGTTTTTATAATTTATAATAAGAAAATATTAAATAGATTGTCAATCATTTACAGCAAAAGTGAGTCTATATTTAATTGCATTTTTTAAAGTAAAAGAGAAGAATACAAAATGTTTTCACTTTCAACAAGCTATCTACTATTTATTAATAAGTTAATACAATTAAGTATTTTTTTTTTTAATTAGTACAAAATATGTTGCATCTATATTTAATAACTGTATAACTATATTTCCCTTAATCTACAATAGTTAAGCATGAAGAAACATAATATACAATATAAATTTATTTGATAAAATTAGAAATTATAAAATCAACTAAAAAGATAAACAATTTACACAAAATAAAATTGAACAATTTGATTTTATTGTTTATTTCGTATATTTATTTACCTTTATTCAGCAAATATAATAGTACACAGTATATAAATGATAGAATATATAAAATTATGGTATATTAGCCAAATAATCTTTAACGTTTGAAGGGTCTAACCTTCTGAAACCATTTGCATCACAAATACCAACTTCAATATTGTCTGCTGTCATTTGCCCTTCAAAACCTTCCTTAAGAGTCAAAATTGCGGTATGAACAGCATCGTCCAACTCTAAGTCTTCACTATAACGCTTCTCCAAAAACGTTTTACCATTGATAAAGTTCTTGCCTGTTGCAGTTGCTTTCCAAGCAAAATAAGCACCAGATGGATCACATTGAAAAAGATATGGTTTTTCTTTATCCCATCCACAAATTAATAATGACACTCCAAATGGTCTTACACCACTGTTAATAAAATTTCATAACTTAATTAAAACAATTTGATATTATCAACAAAAATATTTTGTAAATTTTATTAAATCTTAAAATTTAATATACGTGGATCTTACTATATAATATTGAAATTGTATCAACAAATTTTTAAAAAATTTTATAATTATATTATAAATTAGTTTAAGCAATTATTTATTGAATACATACTATATTCATACTATAACGATGAATTTTCAATAATCTAAAATTCATATTTAATTTTAAATTAAGTAATCAATAATTGAACTTATCATAAACATCAAAAATGAAAATTTAAAAGATAAATTATAACTTTAATGAAATTTGTGCATAATTTATATAAAATATCGAAGCATTTTTTTAATTGAAATATACCGTTAAATTAGATGGCTTATATAAAATATCTTACCCAGATTGAGTGTATTCTTGCATTAACATAGCAACTCGCTGAACCAGTTGAGCTGTAGGAATTGATTCTTTATATACAAGATAATATTGTTGAGCCATTTTGCGAGCTTGCTTAACTAATAATCGATAGTCAGGACCAATTCCACTGTATACCATTCCAATATAATCCGTAATCATTTCAACTTTAGATACGCTATGTTCATCATACAATATAGATTTATGTTTATTCTCTGTTGCAAGTACAACACCATTTGAAGCTTTAATTCCTACACTAGGAGCACCAGCTGCAACAGCTGCTAAAGCATATTCAATTTGCACTAGTTTTCCAGAGGGACTATAAACGAATTAATTGTATTAAAATTTTTAAAAAAAAAATTAAAATTATTATATTATAATTATAATATAATTAAAAATATTTATTTTACAGTTTAAGTCATATTTTAACAAAAAATTTAATAAAAAATAAAATTAACCTACGTACAATATAGTTCTAAAAATTTGTAGTATTTAATCATTTGACACAATATATTCGTACTTAATTTTAATATTAAAATTATTTTATTCTATATAATAAAAATTTTTCATTAATATAAAAATATATTGAAAACGGTATTAAAGTATTGTTATCAATTATATAAATTATAATTATTTCAAATTAATTCGATAATAATTGTATTTTGTTAGTTTATAAATTAATTTTATATCTTTAAATTATAACAGATATTTAAAAACATTTCTTAGAAATATGAAACATTAAAATTTTATAACATAATTTTTAACAAAACATTAAATTTGTAAATTAGATATATTATCATACATAATAAAACAAAAAAGTAATAAATAAATATTAAAACTATGAGCAAAAGTGATTGTCATTCAATTTAAAATATTCTTTTTAGGTTATGGTAATAATATTGTTATTATATACAAAACACTATGTAAAATAAAAATGTAGTTTAACAAACGAATGAATAGGTTACCTAAATGTAGTAAGTGAAAAACTATAACGTTCGGAAGCCATTATTAAAAATTTTAATTTACTCAAATTACTATATCAAAATATAATAAACCTTTATCGTTTAGACTTCTTCAAATTGTCTGGTGTAGTATTCTTATTATAGGGTCTAATATACTTTAAGCTTTTTGATTTTTAAAATTGTTAAAATACTAGGTATTACTAGTTTATTTAAGTTTTATTATTAGTTTTTTTAAGGTGTTAGGCAAAAAATGTTTTAATTTGATGTGATTGGTTATTCGAAAAAATTTTAAATAATTTTTTTTTCAAAAACTTTATTGAAAAAATTGTATATTAAACCAAAATTACTTGAAATTAAAATAAACCATGTAAAAAACGATAAAAAAGAAATTGCATCAATAAAATATTACTTTAATTATATTATAGACGTAATAATGTTAATGTTTAGATTAGATAAATAATTTAAAATAATTTTTCTTTATACAATAAATAATAAATATTTTTCTTTTTTTCTTAATTTACAAATACATGCTTTAATCTAATCATTTCTCATTTTATTGTATCATTAATAATGTTTACGAATATTTATAATTAACTACATTGATCATTTGTGGTAAAAAAAGATTTACATTCTTTTTCATACATTTAAACGTATTCGCTCAAGTATGTATATACATTTAATGTAAATAATTAAAATGTATAACCAAGAATTTTATATATCTTGTGATAAAACTTTTTTATAGAAATGTTTGTTCTATGTAATTTGTTGTATTTGCGTATCATAATATAGAGAGAAATATATATTATACATTGTTTAGATTTGTTATTCTCCTATGTACCTTTTTCATACTCCAGTGTCAACTATTCCAGGCTTAAAAAGAGTTGATAATCATAATATCGGTACAAATATGAAGTAGAAAAAATTAATTACAAAAAAGAACCTATACCAGTGAAGATTGATCTGTTGAATGTTTTAATAAAAGTTTTAATTATCATAGTAATACATAAACTTAACTAGGTGTCATTGCTATCATATATTTCGAAACTAAATACTAACAATTACATTATCGCCAATGTTAAGGTGACTTATTGCTAAGAGATCATATAGACATAATTTCTTTTTTTCAATCACTAAATAACTTGTTAGTTAAATAAGTTCTCTTATCGTTATTTCTATTTTCTTTATTCTCGTATTTTATTATTCTTATCGTACTATATTTAATTCATGTTGTTATATTTCATTTTCCTCCAAAAATGTCTTTGACCTTTGACTCCAGCCATCTATCACATAGTATATATCTTCTACAACAGAATTCTCAAATATGTAGCTGTTGACTCTTTAAGATATTTCTCAAATACCATATTACAAGATATATTACAAATATATTACAAGATTCGTGCAAGCCTATTTGCATCTTCCTATAGTCACCTCTTTCTGTAATATGTATTTATCCTAATGTAGTTATTTTTATTAGAGTAAGTCATTTTATACTTGATAAAAAAGGATATTACTATTTATGTATAATAAAATAAAATAAACATCTTAAAGAGTCAACAGTTAATTCAATCAATCAAGACCTTCATTGCTTGTACCTGGAAGAATATAAATCATAAAACAATGCACTTAATTAATGTCAGTTTTTGGTTTATCGTCACAAAGGAAATTATTAATTTATGGAAAAATTATTTTAAATTAATTTGATCCAAATTTAATGATAAATTGTTTAAAAAAATTTAAATATAAAAACAAAGAACTTTTCGATTATAATACATGCATTTATTTATTTTTCAACTAATTTTAAATAAAATAGACCCAACTAAAAAACTTTTTTTTTACTTATGTTTATTTAATTATTATTTGTCATTCTGTATATAACTTATTTCATACATATTTTCATTCACATATAATATTCAAACATATTTTTATTTAACTTTTTTTTATTTAACATTTAACAAATTCAACATAACAAATTCTGAGAAAAATACAGTAAGAAATAAATAAAATATTTTTCATTTAAAAATAAGAATATTTTAAATATTTATCGATACATTCATATTTCGAAATTAATCACAATGTACGAATTTTATGTAATATCATTCCGCATAGCAACATCGTTTGAATTCTAAAAAGTTTGTAGATCCTTGTTTTCCTATGATTCTCGAATGTTCTAGAGCTTCGACTCGGACGTCATACAAGACTTTCAGCATGGCAACACCAATCTCTTAGTAAAACTCTCTCAGTGAAGACGGCATGGCACGGATCACGGTCTGCCTTAGCAGGACCGCTATGGAATAGTCGATATGTCTCAATAGAACCGCCACAGAAGGACTAAGCCTTCAGTTTCGTGCGCGTATTCAACAGGGTTGTAAGCTCACAGTAAATTTATCAATGAATCAGTTATCAGTTATTACTATACACTGTAACTAAATTCCACCTCATACCAGTCAGTCAGTTTTACTACATATACGCACATAATTCAGCCAGATTCTGCAACAATAAGCAAGTAAGCCAACAGTGAAGCCAATACATTCAACAATTATTTAAGCGCGCCATAGTTCAAGCAGTCAAGAGTGCTGATTGCCTTCCAAGAGTGTTTTGGAAATAAGAAGCGTAACACCTGCGCACTCATAACAGAATTAGGCAAGATAATTAATTCAATTGAAAGAGAAGCCATATATTGAAAGCGCAAACGCGTCGGCCTCGTACGACAAATATTGAAAGTACGAACGCGCCAGCCTCGTACGACACTGATGGTGTGAATGCACCAGCCGCGATAGGTACTATGCGATCGCAAAACTCCCGCGAACGGCTAAATTTTAACATAATTAATATACTCAACCTATTAAATGAGATTTTATATTACGGTTTCAGATTGCTAAACCTTTTTCAATCCAATAAAACATCTGGCAAAGCAACATCATTAAATTGTCGTTAGCTTCAATAAAACTCCTGCTTTTTTGTATCAAGCTAAAAAGTCATTAAACTCGATCATAAAGTTTGAAGAAAATCCTCTCGCTGATGTTGGAGACACGAAAAGGTCAGTACATCTGGAAAACCCCGAAAATCAGTTATGCTAGTTACTTCGCATTGACAATTCGTTCATTGTTTGCCGCGTTAATGACCTAACTGTTTACTGGCACGAACGCGTCGGCTCTGCTTGTACTAGAACAATTGGAAGTGCCAGATGTACATACAATTCTTGACCATAAAAAACAATTCCTACTTGTCACTGCAACCCAAAATCCCAGCACGTACGACACCGGGCAATCGGCGTACGTGCTCATCGGCACTTTAAGACAATGCTTACATTGTTCTCAACTACGCCGAGTCTTGTCGATCGCGTTAGTCAATCGCAGCGCTTCCAGAGAACCTCCCCTATCGATAAGTCCCAGAGAAGGAAGAGAAGACGAATAAGAGACGCCCCCCCCCTTTAGATACTTTCCCAATTTTAGCATATTCAAGACTAAACCCGGAAGGAAATGGAAATGAAGGCATGCATGATTAATCATGCCGCCCAAAGTCGCACTCTAATTGGATACAAGAAAGAAGAAGGGGTTGCTAGTGTAACTGGGTCAGTGAACTATTTAAGAAGAACGAAAGCAAACCAAAACACTTATTCTCACCAGATAAGTCACGACCTATTCTCACGAAAAATCACAACCTATTCTCAAGAAGGAGAAATGGAGAAAAGTTGAACAGCTGAGTCTTACAAAATATCTTTCTACGTCAGTGATTCAATATCCAGTTACATTTAGTCTCATCAAGCGCATTTAGCACAAGTACTGAGATTCTCGTCATCTCAGCAAAGGAGACAAAAGAAAGTTCAAGTGCAAGCAGTTCGTGCATGGAAGCTTCCTATCAAGTTTGTGAGGAGAAACTGAAAAGATCACACTACAACTTCCAAGTAAGTCACTTCTCAAGACCACCAATTCACGCCATTCAGTGGCGAGCATTTCTCTAACCTCTATCTTAGGCACGTGCTCACTCACACGGCCCACTATTCAGAGGCAACTGCAGCACATGTCAAGATCACGAGACAACAAGAATTGTAGTGTTCGTTCAGAGTACAACAAACGATCATAACCTCTCAAGTGGTAATATTTAATAGATTAAAACCTATCCCAGTAAATCGTTATCTCACCAGTTACGTCCAGACAATAAGGAATTTATCACCCATTACTTCTCCAATAGAAGCAACGCCACATTATTATTGAGAAACATAAAGGTTATTTATAACCTCATCACGATTAATCATCCCTAAAATGGGAAGTAAATTGGAAAATAAAAGGAATAAACAGCAATAAGAATTATATGTGTTAATTTTTTAATCAGTGTATTACCCCCTCCACTTGCCCACACATTTTCCCATACAACATCTAGTGGTTTTCTTAGTTAATTCTAAACAATTACATTGAAGATATTTATGTCTATAATAAAAGAAATAAAGCCTATTCGGGATTGAAGCAATTTCCAAGACCGTTGGCTCTCGGAATTGCTAGTCCCTCTAACTCTCAAGTTTCTTTAAACATTGGGTTCGAGAATTTTCGAATAATTGTTATGTTTTGTTTTTAAATTCCCTACAATATTTATATCGTCTTCACATAGTAATGTCGTTTAGAATTCTCTAAATTTCTTAAGCATTGTTTTTCTTGAAGTTCTCGAAACTTCTAGAGTATTAGTTTTGCGCCTCATTATTCCAGCAGAGCTTCACTGACTTAATTGCTAGCTAAGTAGAAGCTCATTGTAAATTATTCAGTCAAACATTTAACAGTCATTAAGCTACGCTATTCAGCCAGTGCTTTCTCTCATACACCAATCACTCAGTTACACTCATGCAATGAATCAATTCCAAGGATACACATTTTAATCATCAAGCGTGCTACAACTTACAAGCAGTCAAGGGTGCTGCTGCATTACGAGAAACTATAGGGGTACAAAAAGCATATTCTCAAGGTATTTCTTTATAATCATTTAGGCTAGACATCCTATATAGGATTGTGCGCATATCACTGCTAATTCTGACAGATTAGCAGAAGCCACATTATTGTATCCACTTCCTATATAGCGTGTGTGCATATATGCACTTCAACGGCACACGTCCTACATAGGCATATGGGCATAATTCTGCTAATCTTTACAACATGAGCAAAGACCAAAGCCACCCTCATTGTATATATTTGAGGCCACACGTCCTACATAGGCGTGCGTGCATATATACTCTTCAAGGCACACATGCTAGACAGAATTGTGAACTTATCTCTGCTAGTCCTTACATAGTCATAAGCACTAGCAGAGGCCACGACATTGTCACTATCAAGGAGAAACTTCATCATTGAGACAAGACAGAGTTTACACTCTTTTGTAAGAAGTTAATCCTGCTTATAATTAATGTAACTGTTAATAAACCATATGTTAACAAAGTTTGCACATACTGCACATTTCTACAACCCTTCCAGTTGACTCCCACCTAAGCATTTGCTAGGGCGTGCGGCAAATTATTAAAGCTATCGAAACGTTGGCAGTTCGAGCCAGTAAATAATACCAATTTCGAAAAATATGCTATGAAAATAATTATAAAATCAAAAAATTATGTCATGAAAAAAATTTAGATTTAGTTTTTATAATTTTTTAAAAATGTATAATTAATATAAACTCAAATAACATTAAAATCAACGATTGAAGTAAAATGAAAGTTTACAATTTTCATTTTAAGACAATATACAACAAACATTTAGAAATTTACCAGTTTACTTACATTGGATAAAACGCTGAAATGCATGTCTAAAGTGTATGTTTAACAAACTAAAATAATATAATAAAAAATTATATTTTTCAATTTAATAATTATACTAAATATAATAATCGAGAGATATTTTAAATATTTATGTTTATAATTAATATATTTATATAATAGAATATATATAAATAAATACAATATTTTATACGAATAAATCATTAGAAGTGTTAGTCTGCATTTAATAATAAATATATATTAATTAATAGTATTAATAATGTATAATACTGTATATAATTAAACTATAAATGTGGATAATTTTATTTTTGAATGATTAAAATTTTCGTTAGCTGAGCTAGTTAGTCGTATCTTCATGCATGTCTATTGTTTTAAAGGTTGGTTTTTCGATATCTAAAAATGGCGACTCATTTAATAAATCTTAATTTTACTCTTCTTAGAAACACAAATAACAACGGATATTTGAGGGTATTATTATAATATATTATTATAATATTACTATAATACTATAAAATTACAATTTATTTAATTACTTAAATCACAAATGATTTTTAATAACAGTTTCTTCATTATGTAATACGTAGCCAACAATTTATATTATATCTATTATAAATTTATTTATAATATTGTTTAATTTCTCTTTATTTGTGCACAAGTTATAGTTCTTATAATTTTTTTTTATAATCCAATGTTCCATTTTTTTAATCTATATAGATATTTTTATCTTCTTATTTTTTATCAAATTATATATATAAATTTGTTTCATTGTAGTTTTTCAAACAATGGAGATCAACAGCAACACGTTGTCTCAATGAAGCGCTTATTAATCAACCACCAACTGAAATTACTACATTAGATAATGGAATGAGAATAGCTAGTGAAAATAGTGGTGCAGCGACTGCAACTATAGGTCTATGGATTGATGCTGGAAGTCGATACGAAAATGATGAAAATAATGGTGTAGCCCATTTTATGGAACACATGGCTTTTAAGGTATTCTATTTATCATGCTTTTATTTTCATTTTAATATCTTAAATATGTTGATTAATTTAATATCCATCTAAAAAAAGGTTTCTATTAAATTAATTAAAATTTAAAAATTTAAATATTATGAATGATTAAATAGAAATAAAAGAAAAATATATTTTATATTTAAATGTGGAAAATATTTACTAAGTATTATAATTTTTTTATTTCGCTCTTTTAAAACTATTCAAATTATTGAATTAATTTTCAGTATATTGAGTTTTAAATGTTTATATATCATAATTGTACAGATATGTAAAACAGTGCAGATTTTGAATATTTAATTAATTTACGGATTTGCCACTCTAAAAAATTTGTATAACTGTGGATATATTAATTATATGAACTTATAAATGTTATTAGTAAAAAATATTTTTATTGTAATAATTTTTTACAATTGAATCGTAAAATAATATTTGAAGCAGTAAATTTCTTTTATAATTTGATTAATATTTAACATTATATTAATAAGAAAAAATTAAAATCATAATATTAACAATTTTGTTTATAAAATGAAATATCTTAGCTTAAATATTTTAGTATAATAAATACAGTTGATTATACAATATCCATGAATAAATAGCAAAATTGTACATTTTTTTGTAGCTATAGTCGTATTAGATTATTTATTTACAAGCTTTAAGTAAAATATTTCAGAAATTAATTTTCTTCATAATATTTTATAATAACAATCAACAGATCCCATTTTTAAAATTCAACAATATTCATCCATAATATGAATTTATTAGCATGAACAAAATCAATTATAAATTTATTTTATAATAATATCTTTTAATAATAATAAATAATATTATTTGAATATCTTATATTTAAAAATAATGTATCTATAATTAGGTTATTAATCCAATATTAAGTTATATTTGTATATTACATTTTATTTCAGTTTTATTAGTCATTTTGTTCGTAATTTTATTTTTATTTTTATTTTCTATATAATCATTAGACACTTTCCTTTTAATTTTATCTTGGATTTTCAAAAATCTAAATTTGTTATATTATTTTCATTAAATATGTATAAGTATAGCAGTTTATATTTTTGAACGAATAACATATTCTGAGAACTTTAAATGTAACTTATGCTATCAATATTTTAATGTTCACTTTTGAAAATCAATACTAAAAGTTACTTCTGATTAAATTTAAAAATTTTTTTTAGAGATGGCTTTATGAATATGAAAAAATGTGAACTAGGCGTCATTCGCACTGGACTAATTACGCTGTTTCTACCGTATTTTGCCTATTTTTATTTATCTTTTTACACTAATGTTCTCCCTTTTTCTCTCATTCCCCAAACTAGGCAGTCTAATAAATAAATTAATTTACAATGTACAGATTAATTTATGAAACCGAAATCTGTTATCCATTTGGAAATTTTAGAATATTTTTTATAAATATCTGTTTTATAAAAGCAATATCAATTTTTGTTAAAACTCCAAACACAAATAGATTTTTTAATAATGAAGTTTTTAGTATCGTACAGTAACTACTAATGATTAAAATATCTATGTAAGTAATTTCTGTATATTTGGATTTTTTTAATAACTGCTCGGCATGGAAATTTTATAAAGATTATAAACCAGCAAATTTTATTTTTGCAAAGTCTTCTGTAATTTTTTTAAATAGACTATCAAATTATATGTATATACTCAATATTGTGTGTTTTATAAATACAATACAATTACTTCTACACAATAATTCAATTTAAATTAATTAAAGAAAATATAAATTATTTCATTTTTTAATTAAAATAATTGTTTATGTATCTACAGTTCAATGCATAATAGTAAATCTATCACATAGATGAATAATATATATTTAATATTAGTCTGTTCTTTCCTGAAACTCGATTCGGTTTGCCTTTTTCAATTTACTTCAATTAATTATTGATTTAATAAAATAGTTCAATTATTAAACATAAATAATTAAACTATTTCATCTAGTTTTGTTTGGCAGTATAATTAATTACAAAAGTTCAATGTATTGAATATTTAATCATAGTAAAAACATTTATTGAAAGATATATTTTTTTAAATTACTATCATAATTATTTAGTTGTAAAATGCTATCAGTTCTTTAGTATATTCATGAAAATAATATAAACCAATGAATTTTTGCAACTGTTTATAAATATATAGGAATATATTATATACCAGCAATAATGAATACAAAATAGTCTGAAAATCTATTGTTTGTTTTTTATAATTTAATTCGCTAAAAAGTGTAGTAAAAAATATATTAAATTGTTCAAACTGATCTAAATATTAAAACAATAAAAACACTCCATTATACCTATATATACAATAGAACCTTTAGTACTTTCGAGCTTTCCATAACGATAAATTTCCCGCAATTTTAAAGAATAAATTTTGTATGCAATCACTAATTGTTTATCTTACCTAATATTTCAAAAAATAATTTCTGTAAAAAATATTAAAAAACAATAATATATATCAGAAATATTTTTCTAATATAAATCATGTTTTCAAATCAATTCAATAATATCCATATGCTTTTTTATAACGTTTAGACAGATGACAACACATCATATGAGCGGTTCGATGAATAAAACGAAGTAATCTTATATCACAATCCTTAAAACTGTTTTATAATTTATTATTATTATTGTTGTTATTGTTGTTATTGTTATAACTATTATTAACTCTTCGATTTCTATACAACAATATTATTGTTCATTGTTCGACTAAAACTATCGATGTATTACTGTAAGATATAATCTTTTATTATTATTATTGCTATAAATTCCTTGTTATCGTTATAATAGATTTAGTCATAAGTATTTAAAATTCTAAGTAATATTAGTTGCAAATGTAGTTCACTAATGAATAAAATACTTGATTTTATTTCATTAAATATTTGTTTATTACCCAAAGCAAATTTTGTTTAAGCAAAGATTGCAATACCTATTAAAAAGTAACTTATGTAAATCAATCCAGCACTTGGAATTATTAAGCATGTTTTATGTATATGAAGGTACTCAGAATTTTTATGAACAATTATATGATTCTAAACATATACGTTATAATTTTAATTTTAATATTTTTTCGATGGTACAATACAATTGTATATAACATTGTTAATTACTATTTTATATGGTTCGACAGTTTATGATTACACATTAAGCGTTTTCATTTAGTTTGTAGTTTTTATGAAAGGCATGTAGTAAAATAAAACAATTATTATCAAGACATGAACAAAATTGTTTTTATACGATACAAATAATGCCAGAATATTATCTCATAAATGTTCCAATATTTTAATAGTACAATAAAAACAATTTATTACATAACATTAGGGTTATACGTATGTATATTTGATTTATCATGCAATTTTTAGTAATTGTAATTGATTTTAAGAAATAACATTGTAACAATTTTGTTAAAATTATTTGTTAATAATTAACATTTATTACAATATTTATTACATAAAACGTACTATTTTATAAATATGATAAAAAATTAAACATGCTATTTGTAAATTCTGAGGCAAAAATGTAAAAAATTTTTCATTTGTTGATATGTAAGTTTTAAAACGTAAATTTAATTGTTATAATTTCGAGTTTTTATGGAATTCCAATTTTGCAAATCCCAGATTAATTGAATGTATAATATTAGTTTAATATTAAATAATATAATTAAATGGAGAGTATTAAATAATTGTCACGCGATTTTTATTATTTTATATATAATTGTTCAGAAAAAATTTTTAATCAAAAATTTATTGTGTGAAATAAGATTAACAATCTTTAAATCGTAATTATTTTAGTATATAATTGAATATTTCCGTAATTTTTTATATCATTTATCATATTAATTTATTCGCAATATTAAAATCGATTTTTTAAATACAGAATATATAGTAAATAAAAATTGTAATACATCAACTAATTTTTTTTTAAATATACTAATGGAAATTACAGCTTTTTGTAAACAAATAGTTATTTATTTTTAAAAATATTGATCTTCAATAAATTAATTTTTATAGAATTTCAAATAATACTCTTAAAATTAATGATATCGTAAATTGAAATGAATGTAGTTTCTTTATTTTATTTAAATTGAAAAAAGATGAGCAATTAAAGTATCGTTATTTCATATACGCTGTTCGAAAATGAAGCAGTTAAAGGCGGAATACAAAAGTGGGAGAGGTGTAAACACCTGAACACTTACTTATAAACATAATTCAGCGAAGTCTGGAAATTTCCCTACGCTAAATACTCAAACATTAGACACGAATCCGACTAGCAATGCCGATGAACTCTCACGGATAGATTCTAGTGACGTCACCATAATGATCGGCATAGCAACAACCACCGATGCGCTACCGACGTCGCAAGCTCCTACGTAAATATTTAAGAGCGGCCCTTTGACGCGCTACGCACTGTATTTTTAACATCCAGTCAGTCACCACACATCTGGCTTTCAGTATTGTTCTCTACGATAAATTCAGTTTAGTGCTCAGTGTAATTCTATATTTAGTATTATTATTGAGTAGTGCATCTTACATCAGTGTCACTTGCACCACCAGCGAACTGCAATTCAAATCGCAAACAATCAAGAGGTCAAGAAAGAAGTCATACCACTACAATAGAATAATTCTCAATCTCAATAGAAGTAATTAACAACGCTACAATATTATAATTCATAAGCAGAAAACTAATAATCGAACTCATATATATTACATTATACTTTTCACCCCTTCCCTTGGTCCCTTCTTTCTTCCTAAATCGCTATGGCGAGAGATTAATCCACTGAACTATTAAATTGGCGGTGGGAGCCATAAATTAAAACGTTAAAATTCGAACATTTAGTCCTTCGAGCCGGATTATCTCATCGCCAGAGAGCAGATTCAAGGAAGTAAGCCAGAACACGCATAGCGGCGGTTCCTCACGTGCAGCGGCGACCTACAATCATCGGGTCTGCCAGAT